CATCTCTAATCGCTCATTCATAGCTGAGGATTCAATACCCACAAACAAATAAAAAGAAAAGCACACAGCGAGTTTACTTTTAAAAACCATCAGAATCAATGCTACCTCACCGTTAATTAGCAAAGCATTCAGTAACATACAAAATACACCATGCAATACCATTTAGTTGTTTGCTTTAAATGAGGATCAGAAATCTGAATTACGCATCAACGTTACAGATCAGTGAAATGTTCTAGTTTTTTTTTTTTTGTTGTTTTTTAAGTAAAGAAAGATACCAATAAAAGAGACTTACACAGTTCCCGTGCCACCTCTTCCATGATGTGATTGGTGACATTGTTAATGGGGGTGTAGCCGAGACCTTTGAGAGACGGGTCCCGTTCATATTCCAGCTCCTTAGTGCTGATACTGCCATATGAGACATGAGGGTTGAGGGTGCTAATGAGGATGAGGAGGCCCAGGAGCAGCAAAGGCAAGATCAGCTCCTGCAAATAAAGAAGAGGAACAATTCAAATTTGACATGGAAATATACATACATACTAAACAAAACACAAAAACAAATAAATAATAAATATAATATATATAGAATGTTAAATAGTTATAAACAACCATTTTAATACTGTAAATATTAATACAATTAATTATAAAATGTAAAAAATTACAATACCTTCCAAAATATTGTCAAGATATATTGTGTATACCACAGGGGGGAAAAAAAAGTAAATCCATACTGTCATGTTCTCAAAGCTACAGCTCTTGATTTACTGCCTTAGGGAGGCCATAAACACAAGAGTGCCAGTGAGGGTTTCCAATCACCCCTCTGGGTTTATTTGCTAGACCATGACATGAGTTTGGCTTTTAATGTGCCTGGAGGACGTGCACTACAATGTTTGTTGCAAAAAGTTCTGGCAAATTCATTTTAAGACCACATTGAAGAAAGTCCCTGATTTCATGATTACAGAATTTCAATACTGGATTTTGATTGGTCAAATAGGCTAATGTCTCCCTTAAAATCAAGACTATACTATTATAAATGTTAAAAAAATATATGTTTTTGCAAGTGTACATGATCAAATGTTTGGGGTCAGTAAGTTTGTTTTCTTTTTGTTTTTTTAAGATTAATACTTTTATTCAGCAATGATGCATTTATTAATATACTATTTTCTATTTTAAATAAACGTTCTTTTTGAACTTTCTATTCATCAGAGAATCCTGAAAAAAGACATCACAGTTTCCACAAAAACATTAAGCAGCACACCTGTTTTCAACATAAAAAAGAAATTATTGTTGAGCAGTAAATCAGCATATTAGAATGATTTCTGAAGGATCATGTGACACTGAAGACTGGAGTAATGATGCTGAAAATGCAGCTTCTCCATTACAGGAATACATTTCATTTTTAAAATATATTTCAGCACACATATATATAATTTGACAATATTACTGTTGTTGTCTCATATTTTTGATTAAATATACTTGGTGAGCACAAGAGACTAACTGAGCCCAAAGTTTTGAACAGTAGTGTATCTGTGTTTGAAAAATATTTTGCTGCATAGTGGTAAATCACTATATGGTCTGAATTAAGTTTGCCCACCTACATACGTGAAGCCCACTATAACCAATAACTCCGAACAATACAACTTGCTTCACCATCTCCACCTCCAGGAAAATCAATACAGAGATGACAATCGTTGGCAAAAATCCCAACCGTGACTATTTCATAATGCAATTCATTTTGTTCCATTTCCAAACGCTTTCCATAATGTATCATGGCAATTTTCCCTTTACAATGTCGGTTTAAAAGTACTTAAGTATTGATGGCAGGTGCCGACATGAACTAGTGGAACACCCATCCATTAACAGCCTTTTAATTCTGAAAGACTCTTATATGGCTCTTCACGAAACAAACAGGAAGCAGAGAGCGATTAAAAATACATTAAAAGTTAAAATACATGACCTCATGAACAGAAGAAAAAAGAGAAATGGCTTGGAGGATTGTTTCTTTTCTCTTTCTGAGTCGAAGCAGAGAATAAACAACCTGCTGGGCAGTAAAGAGTCAACAGAGTGGAAGGAAGAAGATTTCATCCAGATGCAGGGGAATTACAACAGATCAGTAGTATTAAGGCCGCTAAGTCTTGTGATTTTATAAAGCAGTCTAGGTATCTGTAATTCTGCACTGCTCATTTAGCTTTCACCAGAAGTGTCGTACATACATTTAACAGGAAAAATCCTTCAGGAGGAAACTGAGGTAAAGGGTTGCGATCAAGGCCACATTATGAAAGGTCAGGGATCTTTGAACAGACTGAAAGGGTTTCTGCAGGTCTTTAAGACGAAGTAAGGACATTTTAAGAAACACAACAGGGCTGCACAATAACTTGTATTTTAACTGTGATTACGGTTTCTGCTTCTCTCTATATATTAAAGGGGACATGAACTCAGAAATAAAATTTCCCTTGATTTTTTGACATATAACAGGTCAATGTATTATAAAAACAGCATGTAAGTTTAACATTTCAAAACTTTCTTATTAGTTTAAAGACTAGGGATGCAACGAAATTAAAATTCTTGGCCGAAGCCGAACAAAATGAAACACTGGGCCGAAGGCCGAATACGTTTTTTGTGCTTGTGTGAAAGTGCAATAACTCTGATGAAATGTAAAAAAAAATCTAAAATGACAATCATGATTAATAATGATGTTTATATTTTGTGAGCAAAATAATTGCGATTGACAGTTTAACCATTATTTTCATTATTTTCGAGTGCAAAATTCTTAAATCAAGACATTTATTTGAGAAGCAAAAATGCATAAGAACCTGACAAAAATGAAGTGAGTTTATGAAAAAGAATTACAAAAAAAAAAAATCTGCCAATGGGCTCTGAAAAACCAACTTAAATCAATAGTTTTCATTACCAATTTTTCTTAGAATTTCTTCATTTCTTAATTTTGCATCTCAAGTAAATGCATCTTAATTTAAGAATATTCAGTAGGGATGCTCCGATCAGGATTTTTGCATCCGATACCGAGTACCGATTTCTTGTCATGGTGATCGTCCGATACCGATGCCGATTCTGATGCTTCAAGCTTTATACAGACAGTTTCATCGGGCGCACACGCCTGGCCTGAAGTTAACTTCCGGTCTGTGCTTGTTTATCAGTCTAGCTATGGCGCCAGCTACAAACGCAGTTAAAGCTAAGGTGATGAGTAGGCTGAAGTTGGGCTCAGGTGGTTGTGCTGTGGGATGTGTTTCCCCTACATTCATTTATTTGTGGCGCTCGCCACAATATCAAAACTGACTGATTTGACAGATGAAAGGCACCTGGAGACTCTGTTGTTTGGTCCTCCATTTGATCAGCAGGTTTTTGTAGAGCAGGCTCCTCGTCTGATGCCAGACTCCGGCATCTCTTCTGGTTATAGGCTGCATTCTTCCAGCATGCTTCAGCTGACTGGCACATGGATCAGACACAGCTGCAAAACAACACATAACCTTCTCATTTCAAATAAAAAAAAAAGGCACATTTTTGCTTTGAATTTGTCAGGCCAACTTCAGGGTGTTTCTTCACAACTTATAGGTCATATTGTTCGGCAAGCAAAGCTAAGATAAGATATGACAGTATGTGAGAATGTCTCTCTATGTCTCTTTTTGGAATGATCCCATATTATAATCTGAATGTTCTTTGTCAGTGAAATGCGTTGCATCAATATTCACACTTCTATAATTCATCTTAAGGTAATGACATTAAAATGTTTTATCAGAATTAATAACTTGAACGTCATTGATCATCATGCTTTATTTATTACTGTATTAACTATCCAATATTTAACACACAGGAGACTATGGAAGCCCATTTCTGCCACTGATAAACATTTTTTTTTTATATACAAAAGGTAATTATCATATACAGTAGCCATTTGCTAAAATCATTTAAGTAAATTTTTTTTCCTCATTAATGTACACACAGCACCCCATATTGACAGAAAAACACAGAATTGTTGACATTTTTGCAGATTTATTAAAAAAGAAAAACTAAAATATCACATGGTCCTAAGTATTCAGACCCTTTGCTGTGACACTCATATATTTAACTCAGGTGCTGTCCATTTCTTCTGATCATCCTTGAGATGGTTCTACACCTTCATTTGAGTCCAGCTGTGTTTGATTATACTGACTGGACTTGATTAGGAAAGCCACACACCTGGCTATATAAGACCTTACAGCTCACAGTGCAAGTCTGAGCAAATGAGAATCATGAGGTCAAAAGGAACTGCCTGAAGAGCTCAGAGAAAGAATTGTGGCAAGGCACAGATCTGGCCAAAGTTACAAAAAAATTTCTGCTGCACTAAGAGCACAGTGGCCTCCATAATCCTTAAATGGAAGACGTTTGGGACGACCAGAACCCTTCCTAGAGCTGGCCGTCCGGCCAAACTGAGCTATCGGGGGAGAAGAGCCTTGGTGAGAGAGATAAAGAAGAACCCAAAGATCACTGTGGCTGAGCGCCAGAGATGCAGGCGGGAGATGGGAGAAAGTTGTAGAAAGTCAACCATCACTGCAGCCCTCCACCAGTCGGGGCTTTATGGCAGAGTGGCCCGACGGAAGCCTCTCCTCAGTGCAAGACACATGAAAAAACACCTGAAGGACTCCAAGATGGTGAGAAATAAGATTCTCTGGTCTGATGAGACCAAGATAGAACTTTTTGGCCTTAATTCTAAGCGGTATGTGTGGAGAAAACCAGGCACTGCTCATCACCTGTCCAATACAGTCCCAACAGTGAAGCATGGTGGTGGCAGCATCATGCTGTGGGGGTGTTTTTCAGCTGCAGGGACAGGACGACTGGTTGCAATCAAGGGAAAGATGAATGCGGCCAAGTACAGGGATATCCTAGACGAAAACCTTCTCCAGAGTGCTCAGGACCTCAGACTGGGCCAAAGGTTTACCTTCCAACAAGACAATGACCCTAAGCACACAGCTAAAATAACGAAGGAGTGGCTTCACAACAACTCTGTGACTGTTCTTGAATGGCCCAGCAAGAGCCCTGACTAAAACCCAATTGAGCATCTCTGGAGAGACCTAAAAATGGCTGTCCACCAACGTTTACCATCCAACCTGACAGAACTGGAGAGGATCTGCAAGGAGGAATGGCAGAGGATCCCCAAATCCAGATGTGAAAAACTTGTTGCATCTTTCCCAAAAAGACTCATGACTGTATTAGATCAAAAGGGTGCTTCTACTAAATACTGAGCAAAGGGTCTGAATACTTAGGAACATGTGATATTTCAGTTTTTCTTTTTTAATAAATCTGCAAAAATGTCAACAATGCTGTGTTTTTCTGTCAATATGGGGTGCTGTGTGTACATTAATGAGGAAAAAAAATTAACTTAAATGATTTTAGCAAATGGCTGCAATATAACAAAGAGTGAAAAATTTAAGGGGGTCTGAATACTTTCCGTACCCACTGTATATAACAACACATCAAACAAAGATAAGGGTTCCTAAGGTTAGACAAACAACCTTGTTACTTGACTCCACGCTGCTGCTGCGTCCGAAGCTAGTGCGGTTAAAGTGCATAAGTTACTTTTTTTTTCTCAAAACGAATATATAACCTTGTATAAAAATATCATATGAAAAGTTCATGCAGGATTTGAAATCTTTTACAAGATATGAGGGCACAAATTTTGTAGAAAAATGGACAGTTCTTAAAGGGATCCCTGGGTACTAAGACTTGTATGGCTTACTAGATTACAGTTGCCCCAAAGTATAGAAATATCATACACAATTAACAAAATATGTCTCAGTTCTTATAAAATTTATTTAAAAAATCGGTAGTAGAAGGCCGCCATTGTTGTTGACATCGCAGTGCATTCTGGGCTGTGACGTCAAATGGTTGCACCGATCACCGCTTCGTTATTTTGATTCTGCTATGTTACAACAAATGTCATCTGTTCAGCCTTTTCAATTTGAGCCAGAGCACGAAATTAGTGAGGAAGAAAACAATTCATTTCAAGATTGAGGATATCAAATCAATCAAAACAAAGACGATTGGAGGGTTTATGAGGCGAGAGTGGGGCAAAATGGATGGTGTCTCTGTGGCTGTTGCTTGCCGATGCTGACCACATGTGACGACCCCGGGCTGGATTCCGCTTCGTCCACGGTGAAAGTTGATGTATTCCCTCAGCGACCAGCACAGATCAGCTCTAGGCATGACGAAGTGGATATCGTCCTCTTTTGGAAGACCAAACAAAGTAGTTTCGGTTTCACAATGAAGCACACAGCGTCTCCACGACATGGCTGCAGCGTCAACAAAACTACAGTGAGACTAAAAGTTACACTTTTCTTTGCGTGAACATTTGGGCGGCGTTATGCAAATCTTCCCACATAGATACGTAGACATGTGGGGGCATGTTAGAACGAGCTGTTTTAAGTAGGCGTGGCTGACTTTTATAAAGAATATCTCTTTGGATTTGAGACTTTAGTCTTTGCAACTTTACAGATCTTCTTTATGCACCAAGAGCTCGTAACACTCCAAAGAGAAAGGACAATTTGAAATCACATCATATGACCCCTTTAAGATTTTGCTCATAATTCTGAGTTGACATGTAGTAAACTAATTTCTATGAATTTTGTTCTCAGAATTGCGAAAAACAAAGTCCGAATTGTGAGATAAAAAAGGTTGCAATTTTTTTTATTACTATTTAATTCCGTGGCTGAAACGGGCTTCCAAAGTAGACACAAGCAATCGCTGGTCTTCCTTTTATCTTCCATCACTAGTGCAAAGAAACATATCTATACATCAGAATAGTTTAATATATATTATAATTGTTCTATAATCCTTCTAAAACTTGTTTTAAACATTGTCCGCAAAGCTTCCCATGTCAAGACTGATAACACCTTTAAGATAGCACCTTTAAGCAGAGAGAAGGGGAAAAGGGAGTACAAAGGTAAACGCAGATAAGAATACATTAGAGAAAGCAGCTTGTAAAGCGTGACAGTGTGCTGCCAGCTACCTGTAAAGCAGTCTGCAAAAAACTGGATTTTTTTTTTTAACGCAAAATGTCACTGCGCGTGCAGGAGGTCGCTTGCACCCGACATGTAGAGCGTGCTGGCGTGCGCGAGCGGTGCAGCTCAATAAAGGATGGGTTGGGCTTTCGCTCCTTCTTTTTTTCTTTAAAATAGAATACATATGTGTTTAATGTACATGAAATACTAGAACCAAATGTGAAAACTATCGATGGAATAATGAGTTTTGTTCGCTGCGGTCGGTGAGTAAACACTGAGAGCTAACGCTAACTGGCTAACAGCTTTCCCTCAAGCTTAAACAAGGAAATGCACTTACGTGTGATATACATTAAGACATGTCTTCCCTCTCCTCTCCTCCAAATTCGCTTTGTTCTTTCCAAATAAATATCCTTTAGGAAAAAAATAAATAGAGAAGAGATCTAGGACGGCGTTGTCAACACTACTTGCGCCTCTGCCATCAGCTGGACCGACCAGTCATTCAACCAATCAGCGCAGCGCTACAAGTTACGAGACTCGTGATTCGTCGGAGTCAAGCAAACCAATCACGAGCCTCAGAACTTGTAGGACTTCGCTGATTGGTTGTGTAGTTTGTGTTTGACGTCAGCAACACACCTCCGACCCCACCTGCCGTTGACCTACAGGTCTATATTATATTTTTAACTATAGAGCACAGATGTATAATATAATCTATATTATACATCTGTTTATTACCAATTTATTTTTACAATACTTTTAAATTGTATACCCAGTTTAGACTTGATGATGCAACACCCACTGTGCTAGATATTTAGCTATGCTTGCATTGTTTTGCTTGGTCACTGGAAATAGGAGAAATTGTTTACACTGAAATATTGACATGCAGTCCTGATATCCACTGAGATGGTGCCAAAAAGACAACTATGATACATGCTGCGTTGTGCTGACAGTACAGGAACACAGACAGTACTGTTGTTTAAAGCGTAAAGGATACAGTATTTTGAGTGATCATATGCTTCTGAACTACTACGGTATGTTCCTAAATGGGAAACATTTGTGTACTACGATGAAATATTTTATTTATCCTATAGAAAACAATTGAAGAAATTACTTTGCATGTTTGTGGAAGTTAGCTTGCTTCATATGTGAGCTGGGTGCATTTGAAGGCCCCAAGGCCAAACTGACTGACTGTGTAGGCCTCTTATGAATGGAGAATACAGAAGGAAGTACCGGAGATAGGAGATGTCACAGGATGAGATCTCATTAAAATGAAAACTCAAGATGAATACTCATTAAAATCCTAAAATGTTCACGGCTCTGCAACCTTAGACACCCGGAAAGTGGTAGATAAGAGAAGTTAACTTTTGGAAAACAGACAAGCAGGTGGTTTTCTACAATGAAAGCAAATGTTATGAAAAATAATAAACATTTGTGGAAAGTACCGGGAATGACGTATTCAAATAAAGGTTTGTACGCTCACTGGACAGTGACCAATAACTACAAAGATGGTAGTATGGACAGAGAAAGATTCAGATATTCTGCAGGCATCTCAGCTTTGTTGTCTAATTTTGACTTCTGGAACTCAGCATTATTTTGCAAGACAGAGGAGACTTCTCTCAACAACATGACATCCTTAAAACTGACCTTGACAAAAATGTATATAATGTAGGTGTATATGTACAATGCATACACTACTGCAATCACTTTGTCAGTCAAAATTTATTTGGTTACAAAAAAGGTATAAAATTAAGAGTAGAAAAAAATGCCTATGCATGTATAATTCCGAAAAACAAAACCAAAAAATACAGTCTCTTTTTTTTTTCTTCCTTTTTTGATTAAAAACATTCCACTGAGGGTATGAACTATGTTAAATACAGTATACCACCTTGTCTGGTACTAAGAACTAACACAAACCCAAAAGGATTTTAGAGAAAACAGCTATGCTGAAACCTGCATGACAGTGAAGGCAAATTTACATTGATTATTACCAGTAAACACAAAATGACATCAGTAAATGGAACGGTCAAAGAAGCCAGACATATGAATCATAAGCAATGTGACAGTACATTCATTTGTGCAAGGCCTGAGGGAGCAATACTTTCACAGCCAGAGAAGCTGCGAAATATATATTGCTCCCTGGGGAATGAGAGGGGTATATCTGATTCCTTAGTCGCATAAACAAGCAACACCGTTTCAGTTCTGCAGAGATAAATATGTTTTTGGGAACTGCTTAATGAATTTCAGTTGTCACTATAAGGCCTGATAAACATATTCAATCGGAAGGCATCTGAGGCAGGTTTTATTCACTGTCGCATTGGCTCGGCTTTAAACTATGTTTGCATGTCATTGTGTTAAAGTTTTTACACAAGTCAAGGCCATTGAATTCATGACAATCATTTTTTGCAACTTACATCAGCCAATGGATTCAAAAAATTAAAAGCTGACATCTTCAGAGAAAAGCTCGGAGAAATTTTGTAAAAACTCAGGCAGCACAATAGGGTTACATGGTCTTCAGTTTTCATTAATGTGTTTGTTTTTTTTTCATGGTGCAGCTTTTCCATTTGGATATAAGAAGAAACCTTCTACTTGGTCTCTACATGTTTTACTGGTTCCATAGTGCTGATGCTGGGGTCGAGAGGAGACAGTCTATGCTTAGGCCAGGGCTTTTGGGCCTCTTTAGTGTTTGCGGGTGCGCTGGCCCCCTGTTCCAGTGGTTGTGACGTACAGGAGGGGCTGAAGTTGCCTGGATTGAGGGCCACGCTTGATGAGGTGGGAGGGCAGGTTGGAGGAAGTGACATCTGCTGTTGACCCTATAGAAAATTAATAAAGGTCAACAGGAAATCAAAATTGACTAATTTTCTTAATACTTGTTCTTAGTCCTATTGAACACAACACATCTCTGCATTTCCAAAAAAATTAAAAAATAAAATCTCATTGGTCTTCACTGAACACAAATTGGATTAAATAAATTACAGGTTTATCTTGGAATAAATGGATACATTTATTGTGATATCAGACCTGTTGGGTGGATATTGTGAGAGGGTCGAATTTTTGTAAGCTGAGGCTGGGCTCTGTGTTGGGGGCGCAGAAGGGGGGCTGGGGGATGACCGTTAATGTGCAGGTGGGGATCAGAAGTGCTGTCCAGGGGACGAAATCGTTGGCTGGTGTTCTTAGCCTGAGACAACTATGGGGTGGAGAAAATATTGAGTTTGTTGCAAATAGTCTGAATTAAAATAAATAAATAAATGCATACATCTGAAAAAAATAAATAAATGCAATATATTTTATAAAATGTAAATAAATTTGTGTGTCAACAGAATGTCTGGGTCATATTTTACCTTAAAATCAAAGGAACGTATTATAATGATTATATTTTAAAGTCTGTTTTGGAAGCAATACAAGTTTTTGCATTATAATAGTATTTTCACATCAGTTAAGCACAACTGCCTTTTATTCCTAAATATTAATGGCCTATTATTTAAATTGTAAAATATTTATAAACTACCATTCATAAGTTTGGGGCCAGCAAGATTTAAAAAAAAAAAGAAATTAATACTTTTTTTCAGCCTTTAGGCATTAAATTGATCAAAAGTACTAGTAAAGCCATTCATAATATATCAAAAAATTAAGCAGCTAAACTGTTTTCAACACTGATAATAATAAAATATTTTATTTCTCCACCAAATCAGAATATTAGAATGATCTGAAGGATCATGCGACACTGGAAGTAATCTTAAAGGCTGAAGTAATGACTGCTGAAAATTCTGCCTTGCCGCTTACATTAACACAATATGCTTAATTGTCACGAAAATAAATGGTCCTAAAAATGCATTTAATTTTAATTATGCAAAATACAACTTCTCCTCCTTTTTGGGTAAATTATGACCTGAACAAGTTTTGTGAGATTCATCCATTAGCCCAGAGAGGCGGGGCATAGAGGACCTACAATAATGTACAGTATTTGAAAATTAATGTGTTTTTTGAACATTAAAGCATGTCAACATATTCTGTTACACCAAATACACAAAATAATGATCTTTAAAAAAGCATCATATGGCCCCTTTAACACAGAAGCTCCTTTGTCTAAAAACTCACTGCTTGTCCTGTGACTTCAAACGATCGAGATCTCCTCTTGCGTCTGCGACCCTCAAAGTCCTGCTCTCGTGGAGCGGGGTTCTTAACAGCTTGCCGGTTCCGCGGCCGAGTCCATGTGCCGCTGGGTGCGGGTCCCTCTCCCGTGCTGCTGGACAGGTTGTCATCAGAGGTGGCGTGGCGTAGATCTGGACTGAGCTGTCTTCCACGCCGCAGCACCAGGCCTTTAGGGGGTGCCTCGGTCAAAGACAGGTTACTCTTGTGCTTCTTGGGATCTAGGGGTGAAGGTGGTGGGGGCAATCGCAGGGCATCTATTTCTAGCACTTTAGAGCGGCGGCGAGCAGCCTTGACCGCGATGTTCTGCACACCTCTTAGAATCTGCTGTCTCTCTGGAGGGAAAATAGTTCAGGGGATTTTGAAACTATGACTAATTAAATAGACATTATGTAAAGTTGGCATTAATACATTATATGAGAAGAAGCCATGTATGAATTGGGTTGCTATAGTTAAGCAGTCACTGTATAAAAATAACAGCCCGCAGTATGCCTCAACTGACCAATCAGAATCAAGTGTTCCAGAGAGCTGTGTAACAAGCACAGGAGCAGAGGAACTCTTACCTTTAGGAGTCAGAGGGGCATCTGTGCCGTTCTCGCTGCTCTCAGGCGAGGAGTCCAGATGGCTGCTCATACTGTGACTGAGATGGCTGCATCTCAGAGCGTCATCCAGGACAGATGGCAACAGCTGCAGAGATACAGTCAGCATTGTGACAGACGCACTCATTTATTCAGTACACTCAGTTAAAAAACAGAGAAACCACTTAAAATGTAGATTAAACAGAATATTCACTTTCCATGATTTTTTATTTTATTTTAAAAGGATCAGCACATTTTTAAAAACTCACCAATGCTGCATTTATTTGATCAAAAATACACTAAAAATAGTCATATATAGTGGAATATTATTACAATTTTAAATAACTCTTTTCTATTGTAATACTTTTTAAAATGTAATTTATTCTTGTGATGGCAAAGCTGATTATTCAGCAGCCATTACTCCAGTCTTCAGTGTCACATGATCCTTCAGAAATCATTCTAATATGTGACCCTGGACCACAAAACCAGTCATAAGGGTCAATTTTGTCCAAGTTCTTCTCATCCATTTCCTTCATGTACATCTCATAAAGCTCTTGAAGATGAGGAGGAACCAGGAGACTGTGATCTGCAAAAACATTCACCTTAACTTCTTATAACATTTATTTTTCTACAAATATATATATATATATATTTCAACTTGAACTGAATCCTCATATTGCATCATTTGCAAAACTTTACTGCAACAGTTTGGCCTGATTCATCTCTGGCTGAGATTTCTGTGCCATTTCTTATTCCTGTGAATGACTCACCAGCAATAAATTTCCGCTGCTGCTGGATGATCTCATGGCAGAGGTGTCTGTGCTGTTCGAAACGCTGCACTACCACGTTTTTCTGTCGGATCACATTGTCCTTAAGCAGCGCGCTGGACTGCATCTCTGCATTCTCGATCTCCAGCTCGTGAACCTTGCAGAGGAGGCAAAGCACTTCCCTCTGCTCCTCTGAGCTCACGCGGCGGGGGAGAAGCTCTTCAAGACGGCGTGCTTTCTCTCGGAGCTCTGCCAGGCGCTGCTCTAATCCAGCCTAAAGAGAATGGCAGAACTGTGGTTAATTACTGTGATGAGTCACTTTATTAACATTGCAAGTCATGTACAAATTATCTTTGCTTATAAGAAGTCTCAGTCTAAAAGCAGAAAGGACATATGCACTGAAGAAGGTAATATGCACTGCCTACGCAGAGTGTTCCAAATCAGTCAGTTTATTTAGGATGTTGCCTTAAAAGACAAATGCCTATGTTGCCAGTTTACCAGATTTTGGAACAGAGCTAATGTCTTTTTAATATTTTCATCTATTTCAGTATTAAGTATCTCATACAGTCGCTTTATCTTGGCTAAAGTGATAGGCATGTCTGGCAAACAGATCAATTTGAATGAATCATGATTTGATTAAAGAGATTCACCAAGTATATGTGACCCTGGACCACAAAACCAGTCATAAGGGTCAATTTTGTGAATACATAAGCTTTCCATTGATGTATGGTTTGTTAGGATAGGACTACATTTGGCCGAGATACAACTATTTGAAAATCTGGAATCTGAGGGTGCAAAAAAATCTAAATATTGAGAAAATCGCCTTTACATTTGTCCAAATGAATTCTTAGCAATGCATATTACTAATCAAAAATTAAGTTTTAATATATTTACAGTAGGACATTTACAAAATATCTTCATGGAACATGATCTTTACTTAATATCCTAATTATGTTTTGCATAAAAGAAAAATCTATAATTTTGACCCATACAATGTATTTTTGGCTATTGCTACAAATATACCCCAGCGACTTAACACTGCTTTTGTGCTCCAGGGTCACATATGAAAATTACTGGATTGTAGGAACTTTGTTTTGTTTTGTAACATAGTTATATATCATTTATTTAACTAGAAAATGAATTATTATAACAAGTTCACTGAAATGAACTGATTGAACTAAATGATTTGCTAAAAGGAGTCAGACATCAAGGCTATCGCTCCAGGACTCAACTGTGAGTTTTTTGAGGTGTTGTTCCAGTGGCTAGTAAGAACATTACCTTCTGTTTTTGTATTTTCTTCTGCTCAGCCATGAGCGTGACGAGGGTATCTCTGGCAATGGCCACCTCTTGTGTCTCTGTGCTGTCAGGCAAAGATTCTGGCGAGTCTGAGTCTTTCTCACTTTCATCCTTATTAAAACTCTCCTTCCTCCTCTCGCCCTGCCACTTCTTTCTTCTCCTGAAGCGTTCTTGCTCCCAGCTAGATGGAGACAGACAATATTTAAAGATGGCACGCAAATGTTTCAAATAAAACATTTCACAAAAGAAGTTTGTTCAGTCTGAAATTATGAAACCAGTGACGACAACTGTTATTATTTGGCCACCTTTTGACTTAAATGTCCAAATAGCTTTAGGGCCACTGTGTATTTAGCTGTAATTTAGTTCTGGTTTGTGTGCAGAATGAAGACTCACTCTGCGATTGTCAGCAGGTGTTTGGATGTGTCTATCTGGGTTTCCATGTTGCTGTTGTCCAGCTCCATAAGACGCTTCCTGATGTCCATCTGCTGTCTAAACGCATCGATCAGCTGCTCCCGCAGTTGGTCCATCTCAGCCCGGCTCTGCTGAGAAGAGTGAGCCTGCACCTCCGCTAGAGGCAAACACAAAAAAATTATGTTATGATACACATTTGAGTGAGAACAGAATAGAATAGAAAACAATCTATGCAGAAATTGATCATTGAAAAGTTAGAAAATAATCTAATGAAACAATATAGTCAATATAATATATTAAATACGGTAACACTTTATGTTAGGGTCTCTTAACTAGTTGCTTATTAGCATGCATATTACTAGAATATTAGCCATTTATTAGTACTAATTAAGCACATTAATGCCTTATTCTACATGACCTTATTCTACATCCCTAATCCTACCCAATACCTAAACCTAATAACTACCTTACTAACTATTAATAAGCAGCAAATTAGGAATTTATTGAGGGAAAAGTCGTAGTTAATAGTGAATAAGTGTTCCCTATGCTAAAGTGTTACCGCATAGAATATAACATAATAGAATATAATACAACCATTTAGAAAAGAATCTAACCAAACAGAAAATAATCTATTAGAACAGAACATGATATGTCAGAACAGAATCATTTAGAAAAGAATCTAATCAAACAGAAAATACAATAGAACAGAATAGACTAGAATCAATTAAAACTAATCTAATCAAAAAGAAAACAACAGAATAGAATAGAATCAATTATTATAATTGATAATAAACAAAGAACAGAATGGAATAGAATAGAATAGTTGGGAATTCAAAGTAAAATTGAGGTGGTATCAATGGTACACATCACTTCACTTCTTACAGATAGGATGTTACCTTGAACATGGCGGATGTCTGTTCTGTCCGGGTTGACCTGTTTGCTGGCCTGGTCTGCGATCTTTTTCTTCAGCCGCTGAATCTCACTACGCAGGTCAGAGATGATGCTGGTGTACTGGGCGATGTGATAGGACACATTCAACAGGTTTCTCTTAACCTGCACAGGGAGAATAAGAGCGTAGAGTCTGGTAAGATATAACAGTGACCAAACTCTTCACAAAACAGTTATATTTTGAGAAAAGGCATCACAAAATGTGTCACAAAAATAATGCAACAATCTCACTGACAAAGAAAAGAAAATCTTACTGACCCAAACTTTTGAACGGTAAAAGCTAGGTTATGAAGTGGCTAGGTTACTAGGTTGTCCATTGATTTGTCGCGTTAAACTAACCCGTGTGCGGATGCTTTTGGCACGGTCGGCATAAGTCAAGGTATTCCGTGAATCCTCGAAGGCCAGAGATGCAGGGCTTATATGGGCAATCATCACCGTCCGACTGTTTCCTCCTAGAGAATCCTGCAAACATGAGAAAACCCTAATAAGACAACCACAATCAAGAAAAACATCCCACAAGCAGCTTTGTTCTTCTCTGTACCTTGAGCAATCGCGTGAGCTTGCTGTCTCTATAGTTGACGTATTTGTTGCCATTCTTTTCGCTCAAAGCATTGATGCAGTTCCCCAGTGCGAGCAGAGAGCGGTTGATATGAGCTCCCTCTTTTAACCTCTGACCTCTGTTCTGCGTCTGAAAGTAGAAACAGTAGTTATTGCACAGTCATTAAACTGTCAGTCTAGGTTAGGAAGTCTGTTCCAGCAGGGGGCGCTCTTGTATGTCTCATTTTCTGAATAGTTGTGCAACAGGCTCCTCTTCCTCATCAATAGAGAACAAACAAGCACTCATGTTTCTGAGCAACAATGCCCCATAACCAGAAACAACGTGATCTGCTTTTGTGCCTGTCACATGCATGTTTAAACCCAAGGTGGGCCTGAGTGGTCAACATTTTTAACCGTTTCCATTGGCAAATACATGGGACGCTCTCTAAATGCGTTCTCTCATATCTTCCCATCTCATGCAGTGAGCGTAAATACACTTTAATATTAAAAATGATTCACATGTCTTTCATTAAATACACCTCACTGGACTTGTGGATGTGTCTCGTGCATCATAAAGTATTTAATAATCAACAAATATTTTCATCTTAGATGGCTTCATTTCCCCTCCAAGTTTATCACCGATAGTTAAACTTCAAACTCTTGGAATTGTTCCCTCGTCACTGGCTGATATATGATTCTGAATATATCTGGCGCCAACTCTGCCAGCTTTTATTTAAAAAGAAGGATTGATAGCTCTGATATTAATGATTACCAACTTTATAGACATACGTCTGAGCTCACCCACTGTGCTTTTATGTTCTAACTAAACTAAAAGAGGAATAGACCTTTATGTTTCACACCTACAAATATCCCACCTCACACACATCACCATACCTGTGAAGCCCGTTCAGACCCTGCCAGATCGATCATGAAGAGACGTGCGAATCGCACTTCCTGCAGGATGTCTCGACATCGACTCTGTTGCCGCACGCCCACCTGCAGCACAGCGTGAGAGCGAGAAGACGTCTGATTGGCTGCTGTCGGCTCTTGAGTTCTCTGCTTGTTTCCTTTCATTAACAACTCCATGACCTGAGAGAGAGTGAAAACAGAGAAAAAACTCAACATCCAGCTCCACAGTACCATTCATAAGTCTGAGGTTGATGAGATTTTTTTTGAAGGAAGTCTCTAATGCTCACCATGGCAGCATTTATTTGTTCAAAAATGCAGTAAAACAGCAATGTGAAATATTATTATAATTTAAAATAACTGTTTTTTTATTTGATCAATTGTGCTGCTTAATATTTTTGTGGAAACTGTGATACATTTTTTTTTAATCAATAAAAAGAATAGCATTCATTTTGAAAAATCTTTTGTAACATTAAAAATGGCCTTACTGTCACTTTTGATCAATTAAACGCATCCCTGTTGAATTAAGGTTTCACTATTAAATACTTATTTAAATATACACCAGTTTTCTTCAATGAAGTATCATATGTTTTTATGTATGTTTTTAAAATGAACATGAACAATGACTACACTGTAACAGTACTTATTTACTTTAGGAAAAATAAACATTGTTTTAAAATATTCTTGTAAAGTAACATGGGGCCTAAATAATGTGTCTAACTGACCTCTCGTGCATTAATGGTGGAGACCTCTGTGATTCCTGCGACCTGAATTTCTCCCTTAGAGTCCTCTCTCAGGTCCAGAAACCCAGATGATGGATTCAGCAGGTCTCTTATCATCTCATTATAGATCTGAAACACAAGAATGAAACAGATTAAAGACCATGCTCAGATTTCAAGATTACCATCATTGTTTATGCATTTGACATTTACATTCATTCATCTGACAGACCCTTTCATCTGAGGTGGCTTGCAGTGCATAAATATCAGAACGTGCAATCTGTGACCTTTCCATTACTAGTAGCATGCTCTACCAGTGGAGCACATGGACAAATGCTGAAATTTGTGAATTCATGCAATAAAATGGAAATTAATTATTAAAAAAATCATACAATGTTATTTTCTGGATTTTTTTTTTTGATTCGGTCTCTCACAGTTGAGGTGTACCTACGATGAAAATTACAGATCTCTCCATTCTTTGTAAGTGGGAAACCTTGAAAAATCGGCAGTGTATCAAATACTTATTTGCCCCACTGTACATGCATTCATCTCACAACACTTTTCATGTTTTCATGCCCCAAATACTCAACTATTGCTTGCATCAATAATAAATTGATTACATAAAGTAATCAACACCTTGGAATTTCAACCAATCAAAATCCAGAATCTGTGGTACAAACTGTCCTATACAGTATTTTCAGGATGCTAGTGTGGAGAGATGAATGCTGGATTTAATATTTTAGAGTATTTCAATAGGCTTCATTCAACCCGGTTTAGAACAAGGCCACATCCTGAGCGCCATCTGTGGTCACCTCAAAAGCTCTCAATTTAAGTCGTCCTGAATGTAATATTTCATCACTGTCATTGAGGTCACTGTGATGTGCCGTAAGCATGTGATAATTTTAGGGTGATGCTGACGGTATGAAAAGAATCCATTGACAGAGAAAGAGTAGAAGACCTGCTAAAGATATAGATGGATGGAAAGAGAAAAAACCAGGAGGATAAACCGGGAGGTCTGAAGCTAAACCACAGAAGCCGAGAATAAAAATGCTTTCTCTCCAGCGAAGCATCCCCTTGAGCATTTGGACGGCCCAATGTAAACAGGAGTTTTAATGTGAAGGTGTAAGAAAAGCAGTGGACAGGAGAGCATTGTGCTCTTTACTGAAGGTTGCTCTTTCTGTTTGTGGATGGAGTGGCTTACTCATAGGTCTGCACATCCCAAACACCCCCTTTAACCTAAAGAAGTCAAACAACAAATCTGTGTATCTACATGTGTATGTTATGGTGCTTGAGCATACTCAATGTGTGTTAGTGAGTGCACACAGTTTTATTAAAAAGATATTTCTAACACAAGTATAATGATAATAATAATAAAACATTTTAAATAAAATAAAACATATATATACATACACACATGTTCTGTAACTATATCAAATTATTAAAAAAAATGTGTATGCTTATATAATTAAAATATAAGGTTCAAGTGCATACTATAAAAATAGAAAAGGACTGTCTGGGTTTCTACCAAAGACCTGAGGTGATGTCTGAACACTGTGCGCATGGATATAGCAACACCTTCACCATGGTAAAGGAGAAATAACACATTGTCAAGCGACAGTCACTAAATGCTGCTGAACCGACTATGATTGACAAATGGGCAATGAGACTGTCGAGAAAGAATGTGAGACAGACAGAGAGAGAAAAAAAGACACTGAGAGAATTGAAGTTGCTGTTGTCAGCTCACACATGTGATCTCAAATGTACATGAATCAACTGTCAAAAACAGGACAGAGCTATTGAGTTTTAAGGCCTGGGAGATCAAATGTGAAAAAATCCCAAAGACTCACACTAAAGGAGGTACCCGAGCTCCGGAGAGAGAGAGACAGAGAGAGACAGAGAGAGCGAGAGAGAGAGAGGCCTACAGTTTAATTGCTATTTTTTAACTTAGCATTATCAAATTATATAATATTAGGCCTTGCAAGTCAGCAGGTATTTTTCTTTCAAGATGCAGGGGCTGTGTTATTTGGCCTGTCACATAAAAGCATAGTGATTTGTTTCTAGGCTAACGCAGTAGGGGATCAGGGTTGCATGTATCTGTTTTGAGTAAACTTTGGACAAGTCCATCACAACTCAGTGGGGAAACAAGCTTTCTAGTATCATTACAACATCACTGTAATCAAAGATGCTGAGATAGCCACTAAGCTGACAAGATTACCCCTCCCTCACGCAAACAGAGCTGATCAACAGACGTGCTATCGGTCGCTCCGCACGGGCCTGATGATTATCTTATCACATAACACTTAAGCTGTTACCTGTTTTTTTTTTTTTTTTAAACTGAATGAGGCCAATTTACTTTACTGTGTGCATTTATTTAGCATGACAGTAGGGTGACAGTATCTTTACAAGCTCTATATATCGAATCTCCAGGTTATATGCGAGGGGGAAAAAAGACAAGTAACTGCTAAATCCTATTTAGCAACCAAATTAATATCTCACCTCCAAGTAGGACATTGAGACATTGTACTGCATGTCATCGCTGGTTTCTTCAATTGCTTTGAATAGGTCGTTTAATGTGCGAACGTAGATACCAGGTTCTCTGTCCGTTCCCAGCATAGTGTAAGTCTTCCCACAACCTGCAGACACACACATCTGCTTATTAGGAACATAATTTAACCTCATTTTATTTCCTGACATCATGCCATGCATCAATGCCATTTGTGCCAAAATACAATTTTTAATTATTTACATTTTATTAGTTGCATCATTCCTGCTGCCTGTGATACAGAACAGGCTTACCAGTTGAATATCTGTGCTCTAAACTACACTACCTATCATAAATGTTAAATAATTATAGATAATTAGCATATGTTCATCAGCATGGCATTAACAGAAAGCACAGGTGTGAGGTGAGTCATAGTGAGTGATACATAATGTTTACAGGTGGCTTTTATCCAGTCAGGCTGAGCACAGATCTAAGCTTTATATAGCCACAGCCACAGACAGGAACAGTCAGTAAGAGTCACTCTGAGGACAGATTAGAGCATGCGAGGACACGGGAGCCACACAGACATCTGCTTTCCAGGAACAAACTTTTATTCAATTCAAAGCAGCATAAAAACAGGTCTTTAATTATGGTATTTATTACCAGATAATGTGTTCTTGACAGCTGGAATTCAGTGAGCTAGGTTAATATATTAAATATTTTAAAATATTTTAAAGGAAGGTTTTTTTTTTAATCAGTGCATGTGACTTTGTTGACTGTTCCGTAAACAGGAGAAAAGAAGATCAGGTTGATAAGGCTTAATCCTTGTGCCCTAGTAGTGCCCAGTTTGTCTGTGATTTTTACTACTTCGGACATATGGCCACTGCAGATGGCAATTCAGTGTAAGAACATACATATATAAATAATGGGTGAATTTTTTACCCTTAAATCCATGGATGTTTCGCCAATCATTATTACATATTTGGGTCTTTAGCGACCCGGACATATCCATCACGGATGAATCTCTAACTGCTGCAATAGCATAAAATTCTCCTGATATTTTAATAGCAATTACAAAAGAATAAAATAAAGCATATTTGGTTACCTTTTAAAACTTAGAAGGGTTCAATTTGAGCAGATGATTTTACCGTCACGGTCAGTGTCAAGAGTGCATTTCCCAGCACATTCAGCATCTGGCTAATATTTGCGATCTCAACCATATTCTCAAAACTTTCAATGACTTCAAAATCAATATTTTGATCGCTGACAGCTTATTTACCACACACACTTTTACCATTTTTTTTTCTTCTTATATTGTTTATAATGAACAGCCCTGTCGAAAATAAAACAGCATATGCTGGTTAGGTATGTTTTAAACCAGCTCATGACCAGCTCATGACCAGTTTGGGACCAGCACATGACCAGTTTGGGACCAGCACATGACCAGCTTAAACCAGCACAGGACCAGCTTAAACCAGCTCAAACCAGCAGCCATGCTTCAAAACATACCTAACTAGCATATGCTGTTTTTATCAACAGTGAGATTGAGGAATACTAAGAAAGTTGATGTCTAACTTTAAAAAATGAAAGAGGGAGAGGGTAGTGAATGATGTCCCGGGTCGCTAAAGACCCAATGTATGCATTTAAGAGTTAAATTAACCAGACCTGAGGCCAATTTAATTGTTAGACGTAAAGACACAGAGGACCTACCAACACACATTTATCAAGCAAACAGAACAATGTGTTTATGCCATGGCTGTGGTTTTACATAATATTTAAATATACTTTACTGAATGTAAAACCCTACTGATTAGATTTTCTCTCACACATACACTTTGTTTGTTGTCCAATTGTTTCTGTGTGAGTATGACTGGGCAACATTGCTCTAAGTAGGGTTGGGTATCGTTTGGGGGTTTTTTTTATACCGGTGCCAAATCAATACTTTTAAAACGGTTCTGGTGCCTAAACGGTGCCTGAACTGATACTTATTAAAAATAAATTAATAAATTAATTAAAAATCCCCCCAAAAAATGATGGATTGGCCATTAGAATAGAAATAGAATACAGAGTGCAAATGTTAGAGGGTCAAGTTTTTTAATAAAAAAAAAACAAGCAGATAAAATTAGAAGTAGCATTAGAATAGAGAGTGCTAGAGTTAGAGGGTCAAATGAAGATGAAAGAGATGTGTTTTCAGCCGTTTCTTGAAAATATTAAGGACTCAGCTGCTTGGATTGAGCTGGGCAGGTCATCCCAACAGGAGGGAACAGTTATTGTCAAAGTCAATTAAAGTTTTATCATAATGCAAAATGTTTCAATACAAGCATTTCAGT